TCCATCGTCCGCCATATTTGTTTTCAAGGAAAATTTGTACTCAGTCTCACTCGGCCGAATTTCTTAACTGGGGCGATCATGTAAACTCGGTTCCAGACCTCGCTGCCAGCCCCCCTGGTTCCGAAGATTATTACTTCGGCGGAGCGCGAAGTAAAGGATTCGCGACGCTCAGGAATGTATCAAAGTTGCAATTTTTTGACAAGATTGGGCAAGCAAAGTTTGTAGGTTTTCGGTTCTATTCGGCTATTTGACGAAGTGAGAGCCGAATTAGTTCGAGATATCTCGAGATCGCTTCGATTTCTTTGATTTATCCTTTAGCTTTTTCGAGGAAGAAAGAATTATTATTTTGGCTTTCCCGGGGTTTGAACCGACTCACCTGTGTGACCCGTCAGATCAGAGGAGACTCTAAGTTGAGGGATTAGCCGATTGCGCTACTGCGACCCAAGGTAGTTTGGGATAGAAAAAATAGTTATGAAATGATGCACTAGTTTCGGGACAAGATTGGGCGTGCAAGTTCGTGACTCTCAGGCTTGTTTCAACTATTTCACGAAATGAGACCGGGCTACTTCGTGATATCTTGAGATCACTTCAAGTTTAGTCTTTAATTATTCGAGGAATAAATAGAGGATATTTCGTGGCCGCGCAGAGACACGAAATTTCTCTTCGAGTGTTGAAATCATTTCACGAGTGAGCCCTCCTTTTGAACTGTTTTATGATGAATTTAAAGTTACAAAATCCTGCACGAAGTCATTTTGTCTTTGTTGAGTGTTACGTAGTAAAATTGCTTTCATGCGTTGCGTGACTTTCTCGAACGTTCTCTACGTTTTTGGATTATTCACGAATAATTAATTAGGGCATGTTTACATTTCAGCATGAGTCAGCAGATTTGCATCAGTTACTGAAATCATAAAATATGTCGAAAAGCTACTACTATTCGCCTGTTTGGTATTTTCTAAAACCTTATGTCAAACGGTATACAAGTTCCAAGCGAGTTCTTTTGACGAACTAAGTTTTTTTCCCACGAGCTGGACTGCTGTGTTAAGTCAAGTGTGACGAAGGTGTTGGGTGTTGGATTTTGGAATTTTTTTTATCGTTTTCATTAAAAGCCCGTAATTATTACCCTGCATATCACATAGGACCAGATTTTTCTAACTGAAAAGCCCCGGCATTATCTGAGAGTTCTCTTCATGAAAACGTTTTATAATTCAATGCTATAATTTGTTGTGCAAAGGAAGCTCTTGCTTTGATCGTCGTGGATATTGAATGAGTGCAAATTCTCTTGCAAAATTGTGAAAAACTGCATAATTATAGGTTTAATTAGGCCAAAAAAGAACAAATTCTGCCGAGGTCTGTATGATAAAAAAGGGCCTCAGAGTACTGTTTACCTGAGACGTGATGAGAACAAGTATGTTTAAAAGGCTGGTTTACACGCCACCAGATTCGTCGCCAAGATTTACTAGAAAACTAAACTTGTCGAACTTGTCCAATTATCCATAGTCTTTCTAACGGAGCAAGGTAGGAGAGACTGGTTAATGCCACATTATGATGCAACAGCTAATGTAAATACAATACACGAATAGGTCTATTTGTTTTCCAGGCCTAATCTACTGTGGTCGAACATGATTGCTATTTTTAGGTGTACAAATAAGACTATTTAATAAGTCGATGTAAAATTTGTTTCACTCTTGGACTGTCAAATTATTTTTTCTCTAAAATCACTTAGCCTTTGCCTCAAAGTCAAATGAATGTGCAAATCTGTGAGTTTATTGATTGATTTAAATTATGAATTTATTAACGGGAGCTTCGCTTTTAGCCCTGGCTAAATCTATATATTATTTCAATCTGTCTGTCTTGTTCTCTTTGTTTCCTTTGCCTTTTCTTTTCCATCTATTTTTTTTGCGCACTTTCCTGTCTTTCTTTCCAGTAAGGGGAAAAATTTAACCTGGGAGGAGTAGTTGGCGAATAGCGAAATTGGCAGTGGATTAATATCACAGCGAGTTAGTGGTTATTTTTGTGAGTAACTCTAGCAGGACTGATAAGAATTTCCAAAATGAGTTACCCGACTGTGCAAAGATCTATCCTTTAGCTGAATTTGCTTAAAGTGAGAGCTAAATGGGTTCAGACATGAATGCAATATCTTCATCGTTCCATGTGGAAGGGAAATGACCCCACCCGTCCGAAAGGCTTAATTCATACTTATTTGCGTCCTACTCTACCCCTGATGAGGTTTGAGTACTTACTTTCATCTAATAAAGGTTGCTGTTATGGCAGCCGAAGCCTCCTCTGTTCAAATGTTGGAGCAAGGATAATCACAGTCGGTTACTGCACGACCTTCTATGCATGCATGAGGTTCCGAGTTCGATTCTCAGGCGTGAAATCAAATGCTTGTTTTGACTTCCTTCCGGTTTAGGTTAAATGACACGTAAAATGGAGCACTGATGGAGAGAGGGAGTAAAATGAGCGCACCGCCGGCCTCACATTTGTCAGTCTAAGTACTGTTACCTGTTACTGACGCAAAATACGGACGTTTACCATTTTTTTTACCTTTTAGTGCTATTCCATGGGATAAGTATTTCTGAAACCAACCGCGTTATCCATTGGATATAATGATTTCTTCTCACCGGAGGATAGCGTTATCCACCTTTTTGAACAATTGGGGCCAGAACTATTTTTTTTTTTTTACTGCACACTCTCTAGTACAAGCTGTACCCAAATAAATTTACACAGCTGAGATTACTTTAGCCAGATCCAGAGGGATAAAACTAAAAAAAATTATTAATCAATTTTTAATCACGCCTTCAAGTGGACTTATTTACAGTGTTTTAGTTTGGTAAAAAAAAAAAACAGAAAAAAAAGAAATATTTTCTCTCTTTCCCATTGTCTCTCTGTATTTAAGATCATATATAGCTTTTAAGGCAACTAAACATGTTGCCATTGCGCATATATTAGCCAGTTATCAGTAGTAAACGAACCCCTGTTAGTAACGTCTGCGTACCAACGCCGATATCTTTGTTTTGGGCCCCTAACGGATAAAGAATTACCGGAGACAATGCGTTTCAACTTTCCCTTCAACCCGATTGGCAAATCAACATTGGCATTCACGCCAATCATGGCGCGTACTCAAACCCTGGTACACAGGTAGGGACCCAGAACAAGGATTTCGGCGCTGTTCCGCAGTCGGACGTAACCAAGAAGTTTGGTTCCGTCTGTGGCGCAGGCTGAAATCGACGTGGCTACTTCAAAGATTTTCCACTGCCAAAAAAACCATTAAAAGTAAACTAGGCAGTGGCGTCATAACGCTGCAGTGGAAACTGTAATGTTATATATCGACTCTTTTTAGAATACAGTTATAAAAAAATGTGCCTGTAAAACTCAAGGAAGTCGATTCAGGGAGATTGTAAGGCACTCTGCTATAAACCGAAGCCCTGAAAATACTGATCATGACAAATTTTCATCTTCATCAACTGTGGTGACTTTCCGGTAATCTTTGTTATGAGGATGTAGTTAAGGCTCAAACTTGAGAGATCAAGTCGTGCTAGCATAATTACTTTCTTTGATGCAACTAACTAACCAACACGCACTTTATTTCTCTTTCCTCTTAAAGTGAACACTGAACATTTAAATTAAAAGGTGCGACCTCTCTGTTCCTTAGCTTTTCTACATTTTTTTGCGATAGCTAACTATAATAACAGTAATAACCTTTTTCATACCCTGCACAGTGATTATAAAACAAGCTATTCAAGGTCGGTCAGTGGGAATAATAATACCTGAAATAAGCTAGTCAATAAACCGAAATTCAGCCCAAATGTTTCTCAGCACATGTTCAAACCTAAAGGAAACCTAGTGGCATAGCGTTACCCGAAGTCATGTTTGATACCGTATACCCAAAACCGTGGCCGCCACTGGCTAGTAAAATTGAGCAAGTAACATTAGATAAAAAAAAAAATAGTTCAAGTAAAAGTACTAAGTAGGCGCACGAAGCCTACCAGTCGGTAATTTTCAAACATGGTCTCGGAAATTTGAACTCAGGCGGTGTACGTACTGAGAAACCACCCAAGTGGTCTGAGCGGGACTACGTCCGTACGGACTGCACATCCGATTTCTGACCTAAGATAAAATAACAAGCCGTCTAAAGGCGTCGGGCCTCGTTATTGCGGATTCGCCGCTTGAATTTCACCCGATTTAGAGAATTAAACCGCTGGTGACCAGGGACAGAGAATAAAATAGCTACATAATAAGAAGTATGATACATTGGAATCAGGTCTATAATAAGAAGTATAATATATTAGAATCGGGTCTATTTGTTTAATCTAACAGCGAGTTCCCCTCGTTTTGCGTGAACAGAACCTCATTTCGAGCCTCTAACACAAAGAGACAATGTTCGCTGCAAGCGGGGCAAACGTTGTAACTTTGTACAAGTTTGTACTGCAATCGAGAAGTCTAGGTTCTTGATATACCAATGCCTCTCTACAAAAACTAATATGCATGTTGTACCGGGTTAAATACCCAGGGGATACTCCCTTATATAAGCCATACAGGTATGTGCCACCTTAAAGGGTAGGGTTTTTGCGCCGTTTTGGTCTGAAAACAGATATAGACTTTGCCAATTTTAGTGTAGATTCGGATATGGTTTTCGAGGAAATTACGGTAGTGACTATAAACGTATTTATTGCTTCAATTCCAAATGAATAAAGAACAAAGAGAAAAGTGCGAATTCGAAGTGGATTTGAAGAAATCTTTTTTGGTTGCTGTTCTAATCTAAGTAATTATGACATTATTTCTTAAAGGCCAGTAAAACGGGTGTGGATTTTTGCGGCCAGGTCTAAAAAAGGGTGTGAAAATGTCACCTTTTGGTCTGAAAAAGGGTCAGGATTTGGAGAACTGACCGGCACACCCCCACAAAAAATTTCCAGGAGTACCCCCCGGGGGAGGGTTTAAATATAAAGGGACCTAAAAACGGAAACATTATAGATTATCATTTTACTTGGTACAAATAATAATTAGCAATCCCGCAGCTGTTTCTCGCCACCTTCCTTCTTTTTAGAAATGGTTTGAATGACTGATTCGACGGTTGACTTCATTTTCCTCAGCTAAAGAAAAACAAAACATTCAGTCAATTTTTATAATAGCATCCAGTTAACTTTTATCTCCTATTAGATTAGAGATAATTGCTTTGTGAAAAGTAACGGGATTTCCAAGAGCTATTTTGCACAGTTCTTGAATTGACTACGCAGGAAAAGGTGATCTGAATACAGTTATCAAAACTTACAAAAACTGGTGGTAACGGCGCCGCCTCAGATATTTGGGCCGAAAGATAATATCAAGACATTAATATTATAGGTTTGGTATAGAAAATTCCAATAGTCTGAGAGCAAAATTTGACACAAAAAAGTGAATCTTTCACCCTTACAGGTGAAAAAAACCTTTTTGGTAATATTATAAGTGGTCTAAGTGAAAAGTACGTCGTTAACCACCCTACCCCCCCTCCTCCTTCCCATATAAGCAATGATCTGGTCTTTCAATCGTAGTCAGGAGACCAAAACATAAGCATCAAATGGCAAAGGTAAGCCAAGAAACCACCATAGTGACGACGTTCAGTGACTGAACATCGTCAATGTTAAAGCAGTTCACATGACGTATCGTGCGTTAGTGTAAAATGATGTGCTAATAGAAAGTGAACCTCATTTGCAGGCACGGCAAAACTGAGCTGATGGAATGAAAACTGGTAACATCACGACTCGTAACTTGTGAGGGAAAGGACAAATGATGAAGACCGTTGACGAGACCGATGAACGAAATTGGTTGATACATTGTAAGTGTCAGCCTAACGATTTTGAAAGTTTTAATTATCAATGAATATTATTATTACGGCGGTTACCACTAACACGCGCCCTGAAAGGGTTTTTTCTTCGGTTCAAACCTGCGTTTTGGTGGACGTCAATCAACCGTTACCATGCATGGTTTTTCACGCGTTGGCCTAGAGAAGATTCTTTCTCCGTTTCTTGAGCACTCGAAAGAATATGTCGGCGTTTCAGCCGTTTTTGCAATATTTTCCTGCAGGATCTGACACCGCTTCATGTCAAGATTACGAGGAGAAAGAATTTGTTGAGCGTTTCTCGGAGGAAACCCAAATTATCGACATATTTACACAATGTAAGTTACAACCACATAAGCTTTCTCAATCGCTCGCAACTCGTCTGAGTTCTGGCTAGTTCTGGTTTCTATTCGATAACATGAAGAAAGATAAGTAGTAAAATTCATTTTCGAAAACAGCCTCCATTCAGAGGAAACTTTTTCCCTTTTCGGTGTAATATCTTTTGTTTCTTTGAATTTATACTAGCTTAGCTTCTTGGCAATTCAGTCGTCCACGGCTCCCGTGTTTTCATACATCAAATAAATAAACAACCTGAAAACCGTTACGTAAACTATAGAGAATGTTTCGGCTATTTCACTCAGCTCGCAGAGACCTCGTTGTTTTACCAATGTAATCCTTCATCTTAATAAAATAATTTAAAAAGCCGTCGTCGTTCGATATTATTCGCCCTTCATTCAGCGCTTAGGGAACCTTCTCTGTCAGAGCGCGTGGTAAACCATGGAAACAGTTGATTGACGTCCACGAAAACTCAGGTTTAAACACACAGAAAAAAACCCTTCAAAGGCGCGTGTTAGTGGTAACCGCTGTAAAAGGCCTGACTTGCAAGCCTCGCATGTCGAACTGTGTAGAGTTGGAAGACTGTAACTTGCAATGTTCCGAGAAGTGTCGCAGAATTCTGGGCGATGGGCTTGAACACAAGTTGCTGACTAATCATCGATGCTTAATTTCTTAGTGCAGCAATTTGGAAAGGATCCGTAAAATGAAAGTATAAGGAAACTGACCGTCATTAGAAAACTAAATCTCACAGAAATTCATGATGCGCAAAAACATTGAGCAACATCAAAAAGAGGCACCGTATATTTAGGAAACTATGGCCTCAAAATAGATTGTAAAAGGAGGCGGGGTCTGTCAATGATAATAATAGTAATTAATAATAATTTTTTTCTCTTTTGGCGCAAATTAACGTGTAAATATGATCAAATGCGCCTTACGTGACGGGGGAAAGAGTGAGGTACTGAAAAATGGAAAAAGATGAGGGAATACTTACAGTCAAACGTGACTCTTCTTCTGGTTGGCCATAGCTGGAAGTTGAGGGTGCGGCAGGTCTTGTGTCCTCTCCACGCAGCTTAAGTTTTCTCCGTATGTCGTCAGGGTCAGTGTATCTCGTGACCTGTAGCGAAAGTATACAAAATCATTTTTCAGACATTAAAAAGTGTAGATTCGTTTTCATGTGAGGGACTCGAGGGAAAAACAACAATATTTTTCTATATCTCTGTTTTTTTTTCTCCACTTAGCAGCCAGGGGTAATCACACTTGCAAACGCTGATCTAGAGCCGGTGACATGTTTGGGTTACCAAGCCAATCAAATGAATGAAAGCGGAATGATTGATTGCTTAAATGAATGAATAAATGCACGAATAGTAGTACAGCAGTATAGTACAGGTTGTGTATTTTCATTGCGCCTTACTCTCCAAAGGGAGGTATTGGTATGGTTACAATAAAGGTCAATTCACTACTACAACAAATTATCTAAAACATGAACAGAAACTGAATTATACAATATTATCGTATTCTATACAGTACATAAAGAAGTCATCTATTACTGTTTTTTGTCTTCTATACAGTTACATTTGCAAACTAAACAAAGCCTTTCCCCTACTATGGAAGAGGAAAGGAAGGAAGGAGTAGATGGATGGATGGATGGATGCTGAGATAAATGAATGAAGGAACGAATGAATAATTGAATGCGAATGAATTGGTCATGAGAGGATTCAGCAAATGAAGGATTAAAGCAAAGGACATTGATCATCAAGAAAATAAAACAATATTTTTTTCTTTTGTTACATAGTCCACATTTTCTTCCGTAATTAAACTATAAATAATCTTTATCTACCTTTTTACTGTCTCTTGGCTTGTTCTGACCCATCGGATCCGCTGACATTGCTGTCTTCTGGCGGCGACCAGGCTGCAAGTTAAAGGAGTAGTTAGCGTTATTTCAAGGCTAAATTAAGTTGTAATACCTAGGATACTATATATTATATTAATTATTCGATCTAGCTAAGACTCCTACGTAATCCCAGTTTTGCTGAGATAGATATAACTTGAAAAACATGAGACGCAGGCGGTTTCATCTCATATCCCGACACCGAAAAGTGAATTGCAAAACGGCGAGACGTAGCTCAATGAGTTGTTTTTAGCAAATTACCTGGAAATCGGGGAAAACATTGAGGTTACCTTCACACGGCACTGGACACTGAATTTTCGACCGGCTGAAATATTCGACTGAACAATATTTTCGCTCTATTAACACGGAAATGACGAATAAATTTTTAAACTTTTGTCAGAGGTTTTACCCTCAGCCCATGCGCAGAGTGCTACTATACCAAATCAAAAGAGGTGTCTCCTAGCTTAGTTACTACGCATCCAAGTAACTGCAATTTTGCCATACAAAATGGTAGACTGATATTGCGTTCATGTGTCCGCCTACCGGTCTTGTTTTTTCCTTATTTTAATTGAACAGTACCTAACAGTATAAATGCTGACTAAAATAAAGTTAAAGTCAAACCGTTAATTAGGAACGTTAGTTAACATAGATACATACCGGGGTAAAGAGAGAACTCCACAGCTTGTCCAATTGGTCTACTTCAGCTTGGCTTTGTCTGCCTCTCTGATAAAATTGCAGCTTGCCAAATTTCTTCTTTTCCTCCTCAGACATTTCCTCCTGGGAAGATTCCAGATCCTTGACTCTGTGGACCAGCTCATAGTGTTCGGCCCTGAGCCCGTGGTAGACAAGGTCATAGAAGTCTTTCCTTAAGTCTTCGCTACATTTACAGGCCTCTTTAACCATTCTTAAAGCCTCCGTATAAAACTCTTGTAACCGCTTGCTAAGATGTGTCAGTAGATCAAGTTTTACTGCTGTTTTCAGTTGATCTTGTTTTACTTCTTGTACTTGAAGAGGGGATGTAACGTATATGCGAAGCTGTTCGTTGATGTTTTTTAATCGAACATCAATGCGATGCTCTCGATCTCTAGCTAATTGATCTGTATCCGTCGCTAGGTCACCTTCCTGCATTGATTATAAAAAGCCGGAAATGTGTGACAATTCGGCTAAAATGCTAGACGAATAGACTTGTATTGTTACTTGCCGATTTTGGCGGCTCTGTACGCGTTACCCGGATATTCAGAAAATCTATATCACATTTCTTTTAACTTCAAACTTAATTGCTAGATATGTAGAAAAAGAAGGAAAAAAATAAGTTACCTTTTTGTGACTCTGTAAATATTTTAACCCTCTGACGTACAAGGAGGGGAAAGGGGGTGGATGCCACCCCCTAAGGATTTTCTGAGTTTCTTTCTAGGGGATAAAAATATCGGCGGCTGAAGTTTTCAGTAGCTGTTTTTTCATCCCTCGCACAAATTTTGAGACAAGTTCAGGGACGATCAGTTGCTATGGTTACGAGATATGACGTCATAAGTAGCAGGTGGTCAAGCCATTTCTGGTTAAAAATACATCTTTTGTTTTACTTCTTTCAACAATAAAATTAAATCTTGTGGCTAAAACCATGCAAAGTGCTTATTTATGTGTTATATTTCATGTAAAGCACAAAAACTTATTATTTCTCGCGGTTTTAACCTGATTTCTAGTTCTTGGTAAAATCCAAGATGGCTACCATCGTTGCTGACGCCACAGGCCTCCAGCAGGGCCACAACCCATAAAATATACCTCATCTTATAGAGAAGATCAAAGGCTTTCCACTGAAGGTAATATCGTTTCGAAATACTTCAACATATCAAAAACTCCGGGGAGGGGTTCCATCAACCCCTCCCCCCTTGTACCACGGTGGGGGTATGAATTTGTGTGTACGTCCGAGGGTTAATTAAGTTCCATGCAAAAGGGCAATGTGGATTCTATTGCTATTCAACGTTTATTATAAGTGGTTTCTTTAGGTCCGATTTACCTAAAATGAGCGCAACAAGTGCTTATTAAAGCTTTTAGCACAAACAGTACTCAAAAACATTTTTCACAGTTTTACTTGAAAAGTGCAGCAGCGTTTCGCGCAACTGTTTTTTAGTACTGTTTTGACTCACCTGTTGTTCGTTTATCTCATCATGGCCTTTTTGCTTGGGAATTGAAAGCTCCTCTTCTAATCCCTCAATTCTAGTCATCAGCTGTGAAACCTGCAAGAGCAAGAAGCAACGAAGTAAAACATACGGAAGACTGCCAGCCTCGAACTAACACCCTTTTCATCTTAGCTTACTGGCTTATAGTTAGTAAGGCTCTATGCTATCGTCGGCGTAAGAATGAATGATGGTGAGGTCATTTCTATAAGTCCGATCATCCTTGTTCGCTCACGGTTGAAGAAGCATCTTGTATGACTAGTATAAAACATTACTGAGTTGACCCACTTCTTGTTCTTTGTCCTGGCGCATTTGCCTTTCTTCTGAAAGCTCTATTTCTAGAGCTTTAATTTTGGCCTCCATTTTGGAAACCTATGAAACAAACAGAAAAAGAAACGAAAAGAAACATTTAGGAACATTCTATATCGGTTGTAAGGACTTTAAGATGCCGCGACGACGACTACAATCTACAACGAGAACGTCAAAAAGCAACAGGTTGAATAGGCAAAACAACAACTCTGCACGTGCATCACGCTTTTTTTTGTACATTTCTTTGCCGTCACTGCACGACTACGACGGGAAAATTCCGAATTTCACGTTTTATGGAGGACGTAAATAAGCGACAGCTAAATTTTTTGTTTCTCTTTCTGAATTTGAATATGGTCCTTAGCAATTCGGCTCAAAAAAGCTCTCTTGGATTTGACAAAGTAAAGGAGTTGGAGTTGTCGCGATAGAGATTTCAATAAAATAGTACTGAGTTGACCCACTTCTTGTTCTTTGTCCTGGCGCATTTGCTTTTCCGCTGAAAGATCTACTTCTAGGGCTTTATTTTTGGCCTCCATTTTGGAAACCTATGAAACAAACAGAAAAAGAAACGAAAAGAAACATTTAGGCTATGTTCACACTATACCGGTTGTAAGGACTCTAAGATGCCAGGACGACGACTAAAATCTACAACGAGAACGTCAAAAAGCAACAGGTTGAATAGGCAAAACAAAAGCTCTGCACATGCATCAGGCTTTTTTTTGTACATTTCTTTGCCGTCACTGCACGACTACGACGGGAAAATTCCTAATTGCACGTTTTATGGAGCACATAAGAAGGCGACAGCTAAGTTTTTTCTTTCTCTTTCTGAATTTGAATATGCTTCGTAGCAATTCGGCTCAAAAAAAGCTCTCTTTTGGGTTTGACAAAGTTAACGAGTTGGAGTTATCTCGATAGAGATTGAAAGAATGCAAATTCACTTTTTTAAGTGACGTTTTCGTGACCATCGCCAGCGTGGTGTCTTAAATTCCCTAGTATGAAGAACTATCTGATATGTCGGTGACCCTCCACTTTAGAGAACGACTCGGCGGCTCCGTCACAAAAATCGCGCCGAGATCATCGTTTTTATTATATACATACTGAGAAATACTCACCAAAAAGCTATGTCGAAAATTTTCGTACGCATATTAGTTCTAGCCAATCAGAGGAGCGAACGATGATTTTCACACGTGAAAAAAATGATACGTCCAATCAGAATCGCGAACGATGTTTTTTCACGTGTGAGAAAAATGATACGTCCAATCAGAAGTCACAGAGGTGTGCGAGTTTCGCGCCAAAATTCCCGCCTTTTATTGCAGCTTGCAGCGCCTCTTCGCACACATTCAACGAGAAAAGTTTTACTCAAAGAGTTTTTCTCGCTAAAAAAGTGAAAAACATTTCGGAAATGGAGTGGAATAGTTTCGTTTGTTTCACTGTCGATGAAAAAAACGGTAGAGAGCCAGCGAAACAACAGCGGAAAGGGAAAAACAGAACGAGACGTAAGCTTTTGTTGTACTTTTTGTCGGAGCTACTTTGCCTTTAAGCTTAAGCTTATAATATTGAAACCGGCCATTTTATTTAAATTCACTCATTTTCAATTGTGCATTGAGAACAAACAGTTAAGATTACTTATAGTTCTTGGATTACCTCATATCCTTACCGTCCTTTATGTTTTTAACAAACGTTTTTACTAAAAAGCTGATACTTCGTTTTCGTTGTCATTTTGTGGTAAGTGTGTAGCGGCAAATTTTAGCATTTTTGAAGATTTAAAATAGAAAGGCCGCCAAAATGATGAATGTCTCAGTATGTATATAATAAACACAATACCACATGGAAAGTGCTTTGTACGGTATTTACGCACTCGTTGTTTTTGTATCAGAAATCTTACTCGTTCGGTGCTCTCACTCGTTCAATTTCTGATACGTCAACAACTCGTGCGTAAATACCGTACGCCAGCACTTTCCATGAAGTATTCTCTATTTACTGTTTGAACAGAAGCCCTATCCGGTTCAGTGTGAAAATAGCCTAAATGACTGAAAAGGGATCCGATCTTCACTGCAAATCAGCCAGTTATCAACATAACTATTATAGCGGGGCTCCCTCGCGCGCGAAGCGCGCGTGGGACAGAGCCCCATACTCATAGAATATGGTCAACCTCTTTTCATTTGGTTGTCACGTGACTGACGGAGCGTACGTACGTACGCGTCTACAGATTGTACGGGTAGGGTAGGGGAGACTATCAAAAGGAAGGGAGGGGTGTCTCAGGTGTGTCTTGGCAAACCCATATCTTTTATATTGGCCATTCACAATATGGTCAATTGACAGCTGTCAAAACAGGATAGCCACTGACCAGTATCACATTGCCATATCGAGCGCTCATATGTTAACTCATCAAGGTGACGTGATTTATTTGGAAGCTGTCCGCTGACCAGTTGTTTTACTAGCTCGCAATCAATGTTCAATCTCATACTTTCTAGATAGCTAATTTGAGAGCACAGGAAAACTGATAATGCACACATCCATTGGACATCAATGTTGTGATCAATTAACAGCTGTCAAAACAGGGTATCCGCCGACCAGTATCACTTCACCGTATCGCGGGCTCAGGTGTTAACCCATCGAGGTCGAGTACTTTTTTGAAGTTATCCGCTGACAAGTTACTAGTTTTCAAATGATCGCAGGCTCAAGTTTGATTGTTTTTTATTTCATATGAAATATGTTTTGTTTTTGTGCCTCACAAGTAAAAATATTGATTTAAAACTGACCTCGGAAGCGAAAATCCAGCCAGCTATTTTACAGGCGGGGAAGGCAGTTGCTTTTCAGTGACTTTGCTGACCATGGTCACGCGTTGGTCACGCTCTACGTCCAATTTTTACGCTCTGATTGGTCAAAATTTGACAGGTGAGCTCATGCGGAAAATTTATGCAGCATCTTGAATCTTGTTTACTTTGACAGCTGAAGCTGACAGAGTTTTGTGTCAACTTGTGATGTTTTTTAACTGTTTTTTTCCACTGGATGCACAAAATGAAATTCAGCTGCTATCAGGAGTCTTCTTTTATTCATGGCTAGTTGGTTTTTGGTTGAGAAAATAATACATTACTTGTCAAAGTCGGAAATCCGATTTCGGATGGCATCGAGTTCGCTTTTCACCTTGCTTGATGCGTAAGGGTTAAAAAGTCTGAAGCGATACTGGCCTTCCTTGATACCTTTCAGGAGCTGCATGTCGAATGGTAAGCCTCAGTAATTATTGTGTTTGATGTTTGTTTTTTATATCTAATTTAATGAAGTCGAGCGCAGTTTATGCGGCTATGTAGTATGTGCACGTTTGTAAGATTTGAGACAATTTGATATGACCAAGAATCAGGTTTGATATAAGCTTACAGAACTTTAAAAAGCCTTTAGACATTTTCTCACCGCAAATAGAAAGAAAACGTTCCAAAAAACATTAAGTTATAATTCTGGCTGTAAAAGAAAGCTTTGAGCGATTTTCTTGCCTCGAGTTCATCTTTGAAGAAAGTAAATATCGGGAAGCCGGCTTAAAACATAAACTTAAGCTTTCAGGTTAAGCTTGAAGACTCAGGATTTTTAGAGACACTTTAATACTTGTCTTCGTCAATGAAAAATGTTGTCTCTGTACATGTTTCACCGAATTATATTTCTTTTATTGATTGTTGGTAGTCTCTCTTGTAATTTTAATCGCCGTGCCCTTTGTTTTCAGTTGTTCAGTGAACATCGCTTGCAGGAGTACTCACAGTGCCGCGGGTATCAAACCGGCGCTTTTAAAGATTACACGTCGATAAAACCATTTAATAAAACTGAATAAACATAATAATTTTTTTATTATGTTGTAGCTTAACTCTAGTATGTTCGTTCAAACACTCGCTACAGTTCGCACTGCAAAAGTGAGAACCGGCTGGCCGTATATGATTTTGGAAATTTTTTAACGGTTTAAAAAGCCCACGCGTGCTTCGATCATCCTGAATATTGAATGAGTGCAATTTGTGTTGCAAACAATTGTGAAATACTGCATTCTGTCCGAGGTCTGTATGATAAAAACAGTACTTCATAGTACTGTTTCACCTCAGATGTGATGTATAAATGGTATAAAAGGTTGGTTTACACGTACCCGGATTTGTTGGCAAGATTTTGCAAAGTAAACTTGTCGAACGCAAAAAAATTCGGCCTGATTTTTTTCCAGGCCTAATTAATCTTACGGTGATCAAGAGCCATTATGGCTCCTAAATGTAATCGAAGATGATTGCTGTTTTTTGGGTGAACATATGAGGCTATCAACTTGATGAAAGATTTTGTTCACTCTTAGGGTTTGCAAATTATTTTTCTATAAAATCACTCAGCCTTTCCCTCAAAAGTCACATGAATGTGCTATGTGCTCTAAAGTTAACTGAATTGTGGAATACAAGTTTATTGTTTGATTTAAATTATAAATATATTAATGGGAGCCTCGCTTTTAGCCCTGGCTAAATCTATACCGTATTTATTCGATTAACCGCCCTGGGCGCTTATTAAATTTTTGGACCTTGAGAGTGGGCGCTTATTCGAGGTGGGCGCTTATTCGAGGCTGGGCGCTTATTAAAATTTCACCATTTTCAGCAAGTGAAGTAAGTTTATTTTGCAACAAAACAATAAATGCTAATAACAAAACGCGAAGAAGTAAGAAAGCAAGGTTTCTGTAAAATACTCTGAAGAAAACTCTGTCCTCGGGGAAGTCTCTTATTAGAATTTATTCACTCAAGTGGGTGGGGTGGGGTTAACGCTTATTTGAGTTTGATTGGGAGGAGGAGGGGGTGGGCGCTTATTAACTTTTTCTGCCTTTAGGATGGGCGCTTATTCGAGGTGAGCGCTAATTCGAGGTTGGGCGCTTATTCGAATAAATACGGTATATTACTTTTATACCTCCTTTCTTAAGCTCACTCGAAGATCGTCGCTCATTTCACCTATCAGCTTACATGTATCGTCATGGCATTTGTTAAACTGGAAGAAAAGCGAAAAAATCACGAAATCATATCACTCTTTTTCCGGTTGGAAGAAAAGTGTCTCCCATTCCTTCCCATGGGTCGGATATTTTGTATACCTCTTTTAGACTGGCTCTTAGTTTGTCACTCATTTCACAAATCATCTTATCACATCTGTTAATCTGAAAAAAGGAAGAAGGAGAAGAATTAATAATATCAGCTCCTTGGTACTAGGCTGCGATGTTAATCTAATCATTCCTTTATTGGCCGGAAAAATATGAATTGAACCTGCATGTACAATTTCTCGCAAAAGTGTCCTTTTGATAATCTTCTGGCGACTTGCTTCTACTTTTAAAATGCAAGACTTGACAAACTCACCTGATATGGCGCTTTTGATTCTTCATGGTCCACGCCTTCTAATCTTTGGTTGATGCAGTAACATCGGCAGCAACTGAGTCCTGATCAGAATGGGAATGACATTGAGTCAACATGCAACAACACTTACTTTGCTACTACAAACTAAAACGTAATTATTCACCGTTTCCTGTTTTCACAATTAAGGGCAAAATCCCGGGGGGTGGACTCCCATATGAAACAGACGGGGATGCTCGTCGAAAATTTTGAATTTAACCCCTAAAGGAGACCATCTGGGCGTGGCTCAAGCTTTTTGTGACCCCTAAAGGAGACTAATCTGGGCGTGGCTTAAGCAAATTTTGACCCCTAAAAGAGACCGCTTAAAAACACACAAATACGACATGCAATGAGTTTTAATGACATAAAGCAGGAGCATAACATAATCATCGAATCGTTTTATTTAATAGTAGTTTTTAAAAGCATTGTCATAAATCTTAAGTTCTTTGCGGAACCCTAAACGAGACCTTGGCGGCTTAAAATATTGGCGCTTTGCCCGGAACACCCTAAGCGAGACCAAAATCCAAAATTTACACCCCTAAGCGAGACGACGAGCATCCCCGTCTGTTTCATATGGGAGTCCCCCCCCCCCGGGGGGCAAAATCAAGCGCACGAGTTGCCAGTTTTGCTCAATCTTCCAAAAGTATGTTAGTGGTTTATAGGCAACAGGAGTGCAACGTTTTCGACCATTGCTAATAAAATACAAACGGAACTGAGGAAGATCACCGAAAAAAATAAAATGCCTTGCAGTATAAAGGTTATTAATAATCAAAATCCAAGGTATTTACTCTCCCAGCCGCTTCGTAGGTATTCTGATTGCTGAATTATATTGAATCGAATCGGCACAACCAAAACAACAACAAATGTGACTTGAAGGAAGCAATCGAAGACACTTAACAGAAGGCATCAAGACACCCTTGTTTAAAAAATCTTTAAATCTTGTTCAAAGATCTCGACTGACATGATACTGAGTATCTGAGTACAGTCACAGCGAAATATTTCCGGCGGAAATATTAGACATCTAATTAAGCAGGGTGCCCTCCAAACGTCAGTTAAGAAGCGGTCTGAAAGCAGTATGACTCTCGGTTAAAGTCATAGCAGAAATTAAAGATCATAGAGGTAGTTGTAAATGCTTAAAGAAATTATGTATGTGTTTGCGAGATATTGGTATATGCATGCGTAGCAATTTTATACTTTCATACTTTTTCAATTTTGCTGCATTTCTTAAATATTATTATACTAGGAGATACTAGCTCTCTCAAGCTTTTCTAGATCCGAGCTTAAATAAAGATTTATGTGTCATGAATGTATGCAATATAATATTAATAGTATTATGTGTTTGCCAACATACTCATTTAAACAATAAAAAACGAGAAACATTCATTGGTCTTGCATGCTTACCACTTATCAGATTTTCACCCACATTCTTGAGTTCTATCTTTGCCAAAGCTTTTTTTAATTTTCCAACAGTAGCTTCTGTTCCATTCTGACGCATCCACCGTACAAGAAGCTCTATACAACATTCCTTTGTACAGTACAATTTTTCCTTTTCGATCATATCAATGGTGCTTTGAAGGAAACCTAGTTCTCTAGCAAGGTCCAATCTGTTCCGGTAGATGACTTTCGTGTATATCACTCTCTGTCAGCTGATGACTTGGATCTAGGCCCCTTTGGGAGGGATAATCTGTAACAAATATAGTAACTATTGTAGATGGGGAGAGGTGGCTGCTAAGTTTATTTATTGTCATAAAAAAATAAAAAGTTGAAAATTCCCATCTTTTTGAAATAATCTGTAACCCTCGCTAAATGCATTAATAGACGTCAAAGTTATTATTCATCGACAAAAATAGAATACTTAAGTCGACAACTAAAGCTCTCTTCAGTGACCTTAGACTATAATTGGTACTACCTCAATAATTTTCAAAACACATGTGGACTTCAAAGTGAACAAAATGTAAATCCGTTTTTAGCTTTTTGTGCGTTCTTCTCCGAATTTGGAAATCTTGAAACAGTAGCACATGAGAAGGAAGAAGCTTTATAGTATATATAGTCCCGATTCATGCGAAAACTGTAACTGACTGAGTTGACGGCCGGCAGTTTACTTTGCAACTAATGATGTTCAATATAATTGAGGGCTCATGCGAGAACATATGAAAACGCCTGAGACCTGTTGCGGAAATTAGCGTGAGAATTTTAATTGATTTGTCTGTTGTTTACATATATAAGCTGGTATTTAAATTAATTACACCTTTCTACTCTATTTTAAAATTTTTTGTATGATTACAGTCCGGTTATCCTATTCCAAGGTTTGCCGCATGTATGAAGGAAACATACAACGCGAGAATCCAGCGTTAAGGAAAAGTGCTCAAAGTAAATGGGATCAGCTTCAATAGCCGGCGTTGGTGAAGGGCAATTAGCAAATAAACTGAAACGTTTATAGATTTATTTCTCGCTCGTAATTTGCGTACAACGAAATCAAATTCTGTCTAATAAACAGAACAAATGACCAAAACATTGTCAAGCAGAAAAAGGTTTGCAAAAGCTCTATAACTTTTAACTACACAAGAAATATTGAATTCCGGATGCCCTTTCTCTTGAACGGGAAGTCTCTAAAACATTGATACAAGGCTATGGCTCACGTCACCCGGAAATAGTAGAAAGAAATGTTTTCTGAAGCAACATAAAATTATTCCAAATCTACCAAAGAAGTCTTAAATAAACGCACAATCATGCAAGAACTTACCCATATTGGCCGGGAGGGTCGACCTGCAGCTGTCTTGCTTAAAGACTCTGTGTCCTTGTTATTGATTAATTGACTGATCAAAGATCGATGTAGTAAATTGCGTTAACTTTAAACAGTTTTAACGTCAGAAAAACGCTTATTTAGAAAAGCTGAAGCGGAATTTGTTCTGTAGCCGTATTTGTACGCAGCTCATCCAGCTCATCAGTGTTGTTTCAGCCTCCTGTATGCTCGCAAAATTTGAACAGAACAACGGGATTATCTACCGGCGAAAGAAATAATGGCCATGTCCTTGAATGCACAGGAATCTTTCTTGTTCTAATGAGACAAGTTTGATTAGTTTTGCAAGGTACTATAACAATGATTGACCGATCCTTCAATTTCTTCTCAGTAAAAGTAAGAAAGGACCTCACATCCAATACATCCCGAGGAGAGCTGTTAAAATCGCTTTGATAAGCAAGTATTAATTTCCTCATTGAGAGCAATCAACTAAACCGCGCGGGCCCTTGTAACCTCAGTCACGTCATCACTCAATGCCCATGTTGAGCGCTCCAGCATTAACCCTCGGCAGGCAAAAACTTGATTTTGTTACGTCATCCATTCATGCACAAGGGTTTTTCGTCTTTCGGGAGTGCTGCCTCGTTGACAGCGTTTAAAGGCCACATTAACAATAGAACTGATTTTAACGAATCGGAAATGTAATTGTACAAGATCGTTTAGTCGTTTAGACTCAGATGCATGAATCCGAAATAAAAACTATCCGGTTTGGTCAGGTCTTATAGGAGTTTGAATCCAAAAACTAAAGGGAATACTTTGTTTCCGATTACTTTTAAATCCGCCATGTAAACACATAGTATTACTTTCCAGTCCCGTCTGTCGCTACCAAGTCTAGTTTGTAGCTAGCCTGCCAAGTATTGAAATTGAATATGTTGAAATTATGCACACCTGTAGCAAGTAAGGTCAATGCAGATCAGAAAATTTGCAAATGATAATGCACTTATCAGCGGCCATCCCGGGGGGTGACCCCGAGGGCATGACGTGGGATTTGTCAACTTTGTTCGATAATTTTAAAGGGACTGGCTCACGATAATGCGCATGCGCGCCGTTTGTCTCTTCAGAATAAATTTGTCGGGTCAACACTAAATTCGAAATCGCCATTACCGGTACAATCATTGAAAATCCTTCGTTTTATTCGGACATCCGTCGCTTTGGCTGGTCTAGTTATACTTCGGTAGTGATGATTAACGTGTGGTTGTGTCGTTTGACTGGTTACGTTTGGCTAAACTTCAGAATACCCGGCCACTGAAATATCATTCATCAAATCCTGCTACCGCAGTCCCGCAGTCGACATACTTTACCTAATATCTGTATATAAACATCACGAAATATGCCGCTTGCATCGTGCTCGTTGGTGTTGACCTTGTTGGTCGTTGCTACCGCAGTCCCGCAGTCGACATAATTTATATACATGTATGATCGCAAAATACACGTTAATTGAACTTGATGAGTGAAATAAAAGCAAAATAAACGTGACATGAACTTTATGAGTGAAGTAAAACTTTTGTACTTATGTATTACACGTTCTTAAAGTGTGTTGCGCGAAAGACAATTTCAGTAAATGTGTCTATTCCCGTTCTTGTCCACCAAGCTGTCGAGTAAGTAAATTACATTCCATACTCGTTCTATAAATAGTTAGGCCGACTGAGGAGCCTCCGAGCCCTCGAACCACTAAACTGTATACCTTGCTCGTTCATTTGCTCGCGCTACACATGAATAATCCCTACCTTCGTTCTTTTATGCATGAGCCAAAACTAGCGCGCTACACGTGAACATAACTCGTTCTTTCATCCATGAGCCGAAACAAACACGCTACACTTGCTCCTCTCTTTTACTCAGTCGCAAATAACAGAGTGCACAAATCGCATGAATAACAAATATATTCAATTTCCTTTGCCTTAGTTACATCATAAAATCTATTTCAAAACATTATTTTTAATAACAGCAACTCCGGGTAAAAATAATGTTCACGACGCTCATAGTGTCTGATACATCCAAGATGCGTAAGTCAAACGCACCTGAGCGAGACACGAATATTCCTTGCACACCTATTCGAATATTTTGTAACATGCTTTGAAAAGTTAACGCTTTGTTGTACTGGTGGCATACACTTTCTTTACATCATTCAAAATACACTAAACAAGTCTTCATCGCGGTGCATGTACCTCCAAATAAATTCCCCCAAATATGTCGAGAAAAGATGCTTTCGAACGCCAAACTTAGGTAGTTTACACTTTTTATTGGTATGGTGACCGTCTTTGTTCTCAAATTCTACTGAGTGATTAACTGTTCGGTGTTCATAACCATGTGTCTCAAGTTTCGAGTACGCTTTCCAGCAATCAGAAACAATAATAGTTCCAGGTTCAATCCATTTTTGGATGATGGGCAGTAGTGTTTGTTCGTCCCGTTTTTCCACTGCCACCAGGAAACATTTCCTACTGTCTTCCTCGATTCCCCCAAAGACCCACTGGCCTTCGACGTGATGACCTCGGTGGTATTTCCTCTTGCCAAATTTACTTTCGTCGATCTGTACGACTTTTCCTTTTCCGCCGAGTTTGTCACTGTTTTCCAGTAGAATGATTTCGCAACCTTCGCGACAGCGAGTCCTACTTCATGTTTTATTTGCGCCTGATCAAGATCCTGGCACCACCAATATGTCAACTTCAAAATTTCTTCTAAGGTCATCTTGCTCTTCTCGAACCAGCTTCCTTTCCTACTCGATACCTCTGCCTTGTGTCTTTTACTGTTAACTTGCTTTCTGCATTCCCACTTCAAACCATACGATCGATCCTCGCACCTCGTCAAACTCATTTCTCCAGCACACATCGGACACGAACGTTCCTTCGCCATCAGCCCTTCATCCATTAACCAGTGTACCAACATTTCTTTGTCCTGCATTCGCGCTACCAGGTTGTCGTATCGCCACTTCTTGTGTTCGCAGTTGCGACCATAGCTCCCTGTGAGAGACATTCCAATTTCTAATGTTGTTGTTTGACTACCAGCATTGATTTTTCTACGTTTCGATCCTATTGCAACTTGTATTCCTTTATCGTCCATAGTTCAATGTCTATTACGCAAAAAATATAAGTTCCACTTATCGCAGACCTTTCACTTTACGAGAATT